CTGGATTGGGTCGGATCGGGTCGGGTACTTGACTCAACCCAACTCGAAATCAAATCATCTGTTTTATATTTATTTATAGACATATATTCTTCATTGACTTGAGGGTGTGGGTGTGGGTGGGTGTGGGTGGGTGGGTGTAGGGTGTAGGTGTGGCTGAAGAGAAGATCAACACCCACACCCACACCCCTCTTCTATTATTTCCTTTAATGTAGCTTTATAGCTAAATGCGACTGTATCCGTATGTCTATTCTGTCAGTCTAGGGCTAAATGAATCGCTACACAATGAACGTCACTTGTAGGTTAAAATACTAGGAAATTAATGAAAAACAAAAGAAAGACAAGATGCACGCCTATAAAGGATATAGTTCTCTATGAATAGTTCAACGATTTGATATTGTACTAATGGACATATAACTAATTCGTTATACTACTATGGACTGTGCACATTATCTGAATTCTATTGAAAATCGGACAGTGAAACGTCCAGCAAAAGTTATTGTTATCATTATTCTAGTAGAAATTGAACAATGAGTTACCCAACAAAATTCATTATTGCCGTAATTCCAAGAGAATTTTGACAATGTTGGACATTGTCAAAATTTTTATAACGAAATTCCCATAGTCTAAGTACTAGAAATTCTACAATCTTTCTATTTATCGGTACTTCTCTATGTATTATAAGAGCCTTAACTTACGATCATGCATTGCAAACTACAGTGTCTTGAACTTATCACTCATGGTAGTTACAGTGTAGTTCAACGATGACAAGATACGTTGGAGAATAAATCTGTAACAGATTAAAAATATGAAGCAACTTTTTATAAATTCTGAGCGCTGCTAAGTAAGATAACTGTGATGTATTATTTATTTGATTAGATATGCAGACAACATAAAAAGCATTAGTATTCAGTTGATTTATTGTACTGTCACTGTGGTCATCGGCATCACCATTCGTTGCCGGTAATAATAAATATAGCAGATAATTTTAACCAGAATGGGGATAAAAAGTTTGAGCGCAACTATTAGTCCTCCCGATAGTCCTGTAATGGCCGTCACAACATACACACGATCAGCTCGTTCATTGAGTGAGTAAGAACATTGAAGTGGTGCACATGATGAGTAGTATTGATCATAGATTGTATTATTTTCCCATCGATCGATCATGAGTATATCGACAAGTGATCGAACAGTAATATTAGGTGATGAAAGTGTCGGATCAAGTGCCCGAATAGAGAGATTCGACGAGATATACATATTTTTGAGTGCATTAATGCATGTTAAATTGTACAAACATATGAGAGTCGATTGAAGAAGAGCTTCGAGTGGTTCACAGCCGACAAGAAAACCTGGTAGAAACCGTTCGTCAAGGGTAGCTGCTGATGTACACATTGCATTTGTACTGCACGAACAATTGCCACCTTCACCATATGATCGTGGTTCGCTGAATAGAGAATCGGGTGGGGTATAAGTATTATCAAAGTAACTAGATGGAACAGTTCGGTTCAAAAGAAAAAAATGCCAGTTGGACATCGTCGATGAAACAATTCCATTTCCTTGTGACATGTATCGAATAAGATCAAGCATACGTACAAATGTTCGAGGTGTTGCTATGCGAAATCGATTAATTGCTGCAATAGCTTGTGTTTCAACATTAGCTTGAGATTCTAGATATTTGGTGATAAATGTATTCGAAGCAAATTGAATCAAGGCGTCCGAGAAAGTCTCATTGGCTAGACTACACAATGAAATAAGCCACTGAAACTGAGCTACGGCAAAGAGACGATAATCAAAATAGGGATAATTGAGAATAGCCTCACGATCAAACAGTAAATTGAGCCAGTCTGGTGACTTTAGAACAAAATCACTTGAGCAGAATTGATGAAAGTGGGCAGATATTGAAATAAATGAACCATATGGAATGGATATATTCTGGCAAGGACAGCTCAATGTAAGTGAATATAGTGAATTGGATTGCAATTGTTCAAATGTCATTTTTGATGGATGATGCACGGTGAAATATCGCGTTTCAATGGCCATAGTTGTGTAAATCGTGAGAACAACGATCAAAATGATGCAACAAAATATGTAAAGACGAGTAGCAAGAATTTGTGAACGATGAAGGTAATCATCGTGTCTTGTCATTTCATTTTTAAATAAATTCAATTGAAGTACTTTCGCCTTGAGCCCTTGCCACAATAGCGATAAACGAATGAGGCGACCATCTGAGAATAGTTAGAGAAAATATATACTAGATCAAGGTTTTAGCTTGACTTACCCCGTGGAAAGTCAATCATATCTGGAGGTTTTGGTCGCATTCTGTTTCGTATAAAACCGACAACAGTCGGAACGATAAATTTCAATGCAGCTGAAAGTCCCCCAAATAGGCTGACTACGATTGTAAATATATACAATGCATTGCTGTGCGATATATATGTAAACGAGCACAATTTTGGTGCGCATTGTGTATAATATTGATCATACTGGATGAATACACCCCATTGTTCTACCATTAATGAATCGAGCATAGTGCCAATCAAAGTTTCAGGTGAAAATCGAGTACTATTCGCTTCAAGAGTAGTTATTTCCACCGAATCTCGCGAAATAATGCCCCACTGAATGGTATCCAAACATCCTTGGTCAAAGAAACATTCGAGCGATGATTGAAGGACGCCGTCGAAAGCGGAACAACCCAGAAAAAAGTTCGGAATTTTGAATAGCAATTCTGGATTACCAAGATAGTCGTCATTTTCATGTGAATACAAGCCTATCGGTTGAAGACATTTATCATTCAAAGCGCACGAACAGTTACCTGGACTCTGTGGCAACAATGGAAATTCTATGCGCCTACTATTATTGTTTACTTGAAGTGTGCCAAAGTTGGGAAAGAGTTGGCTTATAAACATGTTTTTTGTGTGTGATAGAATTAGGGCAAGACCACGTTTGAATTCAGCTACAGTATTCAATTCGAATTGACTTAGCACAGGACGTATCCGAACCATCAGTTCGTCATTAGTTAATGCTTGACTAGTGATCATCGGGGACTTGTTAAAAATTTGCCAAGCATCGGATATGGTTGCCTGTGCCAATGAACACATTGTAGCAAGTGCATTGAAGAAATATTGACCCGCCTCTTGAAAATCTTGTGAGAAAAAAATATCCTCTTGGTATCTGCCTCGTACGCTGTAGATCCATTCATCGGACACAAATAAGCTTGTACAAACAGGATGATATCGAGGCGACATTGAGATGAACGAACCGTACGGGATAATCACTTGATTACATGGACATTGAATCGACGTCGGATAGTTTCCTTTTAAATCTTTAAAAACTATAGAAGATGGATTTTCAATGATGATGGTTCGGATTTGAATATTTGACGCAGTGTAAATGGCAAGAATTGTGATTGAGAGAAAAAGGCAAAGAAGATAAATACGAGTCGCAATTCTTGATGTGACCAATTCGTACGGATTATCATATGTACCTGAATTCTTGAACAGATTTAATTCAATCATTTTAACTCGTGCCCAAGACCACGCTGCGTATAGACGTTGAGCCAAAAATGCATCTATACGAGAAAGAGTTGTGCATATACACGCTTTTGAATCACTACTTACGTAAGTTAGATTGTCTCGGATTCGTTCGTCGTTCAGTTTGGTTACGCCACCAGCTAATTGACTGCGGTACGACGAAACGAAGAACAACAACGATTCCGCCATAGAGACCCAATAATTTGGTTAAAATATACAACACATTGTTATGCTCAGTAAACGTATATGTGCACGAAATGGGTGCACATTGTGCATAGTAAGATGAGAATGAACTAACTGTTGACCAATGTTCGATGAATAAACCATTGACCAGTGCCTCAATCGATGTTTGTGGATCAAAACGCGTTTTGCCCTTATTGAGAGCAGTAAATGTATTGTTGGTGGACTGTGGAAAATATGTCAGTATAGTGTGCAAACAAATTTCATCGAAGAAACACTCTAGTGTTGATTGCAGAAGTGATTCAATAGCATAGCATCCAACTACAAATCCAGTCACATTCGCCAAGTGTGGAAAGGACCAATAATATGTGCCGGCGGCAGAATATCCGTAAAAATAGTCCGTAAAAAAAGTGGCTGGTGAAAAGCATGTCAAGAGCACATTACAAAAACAGTACGTGGACTCTAAGACAGAAAAAGTGGAGGGCATTCCAATAACTGCTTGTGGACCTGTATTATCAATGTACACTATATATGACGTCGATGTTTGCAATGCTGTTTGCAGTCTATTGGCATGAGTAGTGCCACGAATGAGACGAAGTATACGCCGAAAGGCATTTGCCGTTGATGTTTGTACAAATAAGCTAGCTGCTTCGCTCTGCTCTTTAAGATATTGTCGCGAGACGACTTGTGATGTGAGAAGAGTATCCGAAAGAAAATTATCGATTGCATCCTCTACTGATTTCATCGACAAAGAACATAATGAGGCAAGTAGCTGAAAGTGACCACTGCCTGATGAACGAAAATCAATTGGCAAATAAAAGCTCATATTTGGATTAGATAGAAAATTAATCCATTCATCGGATACAAACGAACTTGAACACACAGAATGGTATTGAGGAACGACCGAAATGAATAAACTGTATGGAATGGCGATTTTATTACATGAACATTGAAGTGTCGCAGGATACTTATTATATAGATCTTCGTAGACCATCAGAGATGGTTTCTTCAAAATAACATTTTTAGTTTGACCTTTCAATGAAGTAAAAAGGATGACAATGGTGATGGCCAACGTGAGCAAAACAAGATAAACACGAGTTGAAATTATAGCAGTGCGCAAACCAAACTCATCAGTAAGAGAAGTCTCATTTTTGAACAGATTGAGTTCAACAATTTTTGTTTTAATCCACCGATATACGATACGCATAGTTGCAGAAATCAAGTATAGTTATTGATGAAGTGGTACTATTTGAAATTAGTATTTTGAAGAGTATCAACTGGTGAATGAGTGCAAGTTAAAAACTGTTTGAATTCTGTTGTTTAAGTTTATTTATTGAAGAAACATGACTTACTCACATTGTCCTTTAATGAAGAAAAATAAAAGTTTAATTTCCACTCTATTGCTCTAATAAAAACATTTTAGATATAGAAAAAAAAAGAAGAAAATATTAATTTTCTAAAATGAACTCATCTTCTTCTCGAGCACTTTTGAAATTGACGTTGTTTTTTTTTTCATTTATTTTATTGTACTATTTTAGACTCGCTGTTTTAGAAAAGAAAAAAAAAAGAATCGATGAGAAGGTACCACATAGTACAGATTTCCATGGTAAGAGAAAATATTTCATTAGTGCAAAAATTAAGAAATTATAAAATG